CTAAAACGAGAGGCGCTGGCGCTCATTTTTGGAGTAACAAAATTTCGTGACTATCTTCTAGGGCGAGCGTTCACGCTGGTGACCGGCCACCAACCACTGCTGGGCCTGCTGAGACCGGACCGCCAGATACTAACGATGGCTGCCGCCCGAATTCAACGGTGGGCGCTTTGCCTCGGGGCCTACCAAAACAAGCTTCCGTACACTCCAGGGAGGCAGATGTTGAACTCCAACGCCCTGAGCCATCTACCCCGGCGAGCTGCGGAACCTGTCCCGGGTGATGAACCAGCCGAATACGTTCTGTCCCTGCAAACGCTCGAAGAAGGGGGAGTGACCACACGTGAGCTGAAGGTTTCGACTGTCACTGACCCTGTCCTTCCCGAGATTAAACAATATACTCTGAACGGGTGGCCTAAAATAAAAAGCTTTTTACACCATTTGGTCCTGCTATACTTCGACCAGAGGTTGGAGCTGTCAGTGGCTCATGAGCTACTCTACTGGGGAAACCGTATAGCGGTACCGGAAGAGGTTCGTACCCGAGTGTTGCGTCTACTGCATGACACGCACCAGGGATCATTGGCTATGAAAGCTGTTGCACGTTCGCTGTTTTGGTGGCCAGGACTGGATAGAGATATCGAGCAAATATTGGCTTCGTGTCAAAGCTGCATCCAGAACCTACCGATGCCTACAGCAGCCCCACCAGTCAGCTGGACAGAGACGAATGAGAAGTGGTCTCGCGTTCACGTAGATTTTGCGGGTCCGATCGCAGGAAAAATAAATCTGGTGGTAGTCGACACGCATACAAAATGGATCGAAGCCATACCGCTGGTGCACGCAACCAGTGAAACCACGGTAAACTGCCTGCGTGCTATTTTTAGCAGGTTTGGTGTCCCACGAACCTTAGTTTCTGATAATGGTCCGCAATTTACCAGCCAAGAATTCGAGACATGTGTAAAGAACAACAACATAGTACATATAAGGTGCGCCCCCTACCACCCCCAGTCAAACGGAGCGGCCGAAAGAGTAGTGCGAACCATAAAGGAGGGGCTTTGAAAAATGAAAGGAGGCAAGATGGAGGATAATCTAGTGCGACCCTTGTGCAACTACAAGAGAACCCCACAGAAAAATGGAAAGTCACCACCAAAGATGCTTCTCGGTTATCAAATCCGGTCCCGGCTGAACTCGTGTTTTCCTTCTACTCTTGCAAAGCCGTCGCAGGGTCAAGACGACTGGCCCTTACTACCCGAGACCAGTGTCTACGTGCGGAACTATGGTAGCGGTGACAAGTGGATACCGGTACGGGTCAAGACTACGTCCGGATCAAGGATGGCTACCGTGGAAACTTCGGGAGGACTGGCCCAGCTACACGCGGATCAAGTGCACTTGCAACGCAACAGTTCAGTGGAGCACCAGCAGCAGCATGACGGTGTGATCGAGCAACGCCTGGCATCCAGCCCGCCAACAACAGTAAGGGAAGGTGATCTGGCGACCAACACGCCTCGGTGCGCAAACTCTCCGGTACGAGTCCCCGGCGTCGCCTCCCCACCTCAACGTACGACAAGATCAGCCCCCACGGATAACACTGCAAGAAGCCCCCAACAAATACTGAGGCGTTCTACGAGAACACGCCGACCGGTGGAGCGGTTCCACTTTTAAGGAGAAAGAAGTGCTGCATATTCTGCGCCGATGCTACCATTGCGTGGTGCGCACGATTACGTGCACATCTTTCGTTGTGTCGCGGCGGCAGCTATCGCCGCTCCTCTCCCTCGTTTCCCTTCATCTCTTACGTTCACACTAAATATTAGCGAGCCTGGCTTGACAATAAAGGATCTTCTGCTCTCTTGCTGACCAGCGTAAGCTCTGTTCTTCAACGCGCCTTTGCGCGGCCCGCGGGATGCAACATGCTGGGTATTGGGGCAACAATGACGTTTTCCTGTGTATGTTTTGATATACGCACGCTATTTGTTTCCAGCTCCACAGGGTTAAAACCTAGCTCGCCAAATATGCGCCCACCAGCCATCGTAGTAGACAAGCGAGCCAGCTGCAAGCGTTACTGCGCTTCCGTTATCTCGCCAGCAGAGTTGTGCACACCGAGCGCGAGCAAGTTCTCGGTGTGTGCGTTCGGGAAGCCCCAGTGTTTTCTTGACGATCTTTCTAATAATCACGTCGAGCTTGTTCCACTACGACCTAAGCCAGTTGTGCATGGCAACGGTGTAGGTAAAGTGGCAGAGCACAAACGCATTGATGAGCCTTAACAAATTGTCTTCATTAAGGACTCTATGTCTCCCGGAGACTCTTTTGACGAGCTGAAAAGCGTTGTCAGTCTTGGCGACAATCTTCCGCAGAGCGGTGCCATTGCCACCCTTCGCTTCAATAAACATGCCAAGGATCCAGATGATGTCTACCCTCAGGATTTCCTCCCTGTCACTCGTGTAAATGTGTATATCGCTTTCTTCGACGGGTTTTCATCCTTTGGGTCGGCCACCTCGTTCTTTTCTATAGAGCAGGAGCTCCGACTTGGCGGGTGAGCATCTGAGTCCCGTTTGGCGCAAGTACGATCCCACCTCGGCGACTGCTTCTTGAAGGGCATCTTGCACCCGGCCTTCGCTGCCGCCAACGCACCAGATTGTGATGTCCTCGGCGTAGATAATATGCTTGATGCCGTCCAAGCTAGCCAGTCTTTTCGACAGTCCGATCATGCAGAGATCGAACAACGCCGGTCAAATCGCAGACCCCTGGGGCGTGCCTCGATGTCTGAGTTGTACGTATTCCGAAAATAGGTTTCCATGCCAACGTCGTAAAACACCGTCGCTGCTACCCGCTGGCCATCTTCAACCAATCGATATAGCCGCGGAACCACTTTGCCGTGTTGGGTTATACCTGCTTGCTCCTTTTCCCACACCAACATTGGGTAACAAATGTATAGCCGTGATTACAGACTACGTTACACGCTACGCTATTACGTGAGCTCTACCGACCAGCTGTGCAACCGATGTCGCTGAGTTGTTACGGGACGTTATATTGATTCACGGTGCTCCGAGAAAACTCCTCACAGACCGTGGCCATACATTTTTATGCCAAGTCATCGCCGCCATTCTGCGTTCTTGTTCCACGCAAAACACACCGACAACCACTTACCAACCTCAAACAAAGGGCCTCACGGAACGATTTAACCGTATTCTAACAAATATGCTCGCTATGTACGTGTCGCCTGACCACCGAGACTGGGACCTTGCCTTACCCTACGCAACTTTCGCGTATAATTCATCCCGTCACTACACAGCAGGCTTTTCGCCATTCTACTTATTCTACGGAAGAGAGCCGACTTTACCACTGGACACAGTCATCTCAGCTAACACCTCGTCCACCAGTGAGTATGCCCCCGAAGCGACTGCGCGAGCCGATCATGCCGTCATCTCGCTCGCGCTCGGTTGATGGCGTCGCAAACCAACCAATGCCGTCGCTACGATGCGGAACATGGAGACGTACATTTCGCTCCCGGTACCCTCGGTTTACTCTGGTCCCCTCATCGTCGGCTGGGTCTATCAGAAAAACGTTTGTCTCATTATACGGGAACCTACCGTATATTGTGTCAAGTAACACCTGCCTCCTACGAGATCAGCCCCATCGATCCATCATCATCTGCTGTGCGGTCCAGTGATATTGTACCCGTATCGCGCATCAAGCCCTACAAGAATGCGTCAGATAACGACCTTTAAAGCACAGGGACGGTGCCTCCGCCACCGGGGGTCATGCTACGTGCCAGTGCATGGAGACGAAAAAGACAGGCGTGACAATCTCTGTGGCTGGCGCTGCTCGCTTAACCGGCTGTAAATACATCTCTGACTACCCCCTCCGAGTCGGTCTCCTTCTCGTACCATTATTATTATTATTATTATTATTATTATTATTATTATTATTATTATTATTATTATTATTATTATTACTATTATTATTATTATTATTATTATTATTAATTATTATTATTTATATTATTAATATTTATGTTCTAAAGTTTTACACCATCATCTGCTAAAGGCAGTTATGTGTGGATGCGAAGCATGGTGGTGTGCATGCAACGGGATGACGGAAGGGAGAATACCTACGGCATCAGCTCTTTCGCATCAGACACCCTCTGCCTGTTCCGGAAAAGCGAATGAGTGACTTCTTGACTGATATTCAACTACCGTGACATAAAGGTGTCTTACATGTCTAGATATCGAAAGACACACCAGAAGCCCAAAACGATGGCAAGAAATGTGAAAAAGAAGTGAAACGATGGTGGTCACTTCTTTTGTTTTCATAAGATGTAAAAAGTTCGTAAATTGCATTTAATCATACAAAGAGAAAGAAGAAGCCGGCTTATAAGCGCGTTTATGATTATTTTTCTCTACATCACAAAGGAAAGTACTTTTGTGACCTATTTATGGCGTTTATTAAATCTGCCCTAAGGTATCTCCTAAGGCAATGCATGAAACACCCAAAATATTCAGGAGAAGGGCAGCCGTTCAACATTGCACCATCTCCTGACACCCATGACCTTGGCAATTTGCAGCGAGTTATGGCGGGGTGTTTTGATGACTTCCACTGACCAGTCTAAATACCCCCCTTTTAAAAATATCTCTATATTTATCGTTTGTACACTGAGAGCTCCTTTGTCATCTCCCGTCAGGTTTGCTGCAGCACTGTTTTTCAGAACGTCCTGCTGCTGGCTGTTAATAGAGGATACTTTTGACGTCCAGATGATGACAATTGTTGACCCCAGTTTTACATTGCCCTCTAAAAAAAGAATACTATTGTGGAAATATGGATAGTCTCTTTTGTTGTTCGCATGTAAGTAGTCGTTGTTATATGAGGCGATAGCTTTGTTGAAAAAAGTATAGAAAATAATCGAAATGGTAGTAAAACCTAGGCGTACTATTATTCTTCATCAAGAAACAGATTAGTCGAAAGAGAGACCATGACCAGAAACAGAAAATTCACACGCGAAAAAAAAATACACGAGGCACCGGCGAGACTCGAACTCGCAATCTCCTGTTTAAAAGACAGGCGCTTTAACCACCTAAGCCACAGTGCTTTCTTTTCTTTCTTACTGGTTTCGCACTAGGTACACACTTCAATATAAGCCACTGTAAAGAATAACATACACAACAGAAGCGATGACAAAAGAGTCGCGGAACTATTAGTAGTTACAGTGCTAAAATTCCTTCAGATTCACCAAGGGTTCAACCCTGGAGAGCCATTCAGGAACAAAATCTTGTTGTTTGAGTATATCAATCTACCGAGCAATGCTCTCACGGAAAAGCACGTGCGCCGGACGCCTGTCAGGGTCACAGTAGTAACCGGCCATTCTTGCCCGCCATAGACAATGGAGGCCAAGCAGCATTATAAGATGAAAAGGCCGTCCCTCCTCTTTCCGACCCTTTACCCCACCCCCATACAGGGTAGCAAACCAGTTCGTCTTGGTTAACCTCCCTGTCTCTTCCTTTTATTTATTTCTCTCTCTCTCTCTCCCTCCTCTTTTTCTACTGTTAAAAACCTGATACCCAGTGAATGTAAGGGAAGTTCCTTTTTTAGAGTTATCTGTAAAACATCCCAGAAGTAAACCCCTTCCCAACAATGCAAAAAAACGTGATCTATTGTCTCCGGCTTTCGGCAGATCAAACAGTTCTAACACCATGGTATACAAACTCCTCTATCTTCTGAAAAAGTCTTAACCGGTAGCTTTCCGGAGTGTAATTTAAAGAAAAAGCTTTTTGCACTAGGCTGAATTTGTATTTTCTTAACACGTTTAAGAACGTCATTGCCTTCTCCCCCGCTATTGATTAACCTATACACAGGAACTGGAAAAATGATGTCGCATATGGCTTTATGCAATTTCTCTCGCCCGACCAAAAAAAGGCATTCATTGGAAAATCGAATTGACTAGAACCGGACACTGTCCGCAACTTCCTTAAAGAAACCTCGGGTAGCCCCGGACATGCTTGCGGTGCTAACTACAAGGTTAGGCAGAACACGACAAAGGCGTAAATGGCATACCGTTCTTAAGAAGTTGTTTTGAACATCTCAAAAGAAAATAAAACGATTAGCTAGTTGTCGCACGAACAGATGCGACAGGCATAATCCTCCTGTTTTACTCTTCGGAATAGATTCGTCCTACTACATTTTTCCCAAGTAGACCCCCATATAAGCACAGCAAATATCCTATGCTGCTTTTGCACATGCACCTGTGAGCAACACAAAACCTGCATCACATACCATAATTTGCTCATTAAAAATATGTTGCATACAGTGGCTCTGGCAAACATTGAGAGACAGTTGCCGTTCCACTGCACTGTCTTTTCGCGCGTTTCTTTTATTTGTTCAGTCCAGTAGTCATTAGTGTCTTTGTAGTGCTGGAAACGCATGCCTAGATATTTTCCTGGAGTATTAAACCAGTGAACGTTAGCTTAGGTATCTGGGGTTGATGTCCAGTCTCCGTGCCACAACCCCAGACACCTTCCCCAATTCTCCCGACTTCCTGTAATTTCTCCAAAATTTTTGACAACGGCAACTGTCTCTTGTACACTTTCATTGGTGGTGCAACACACTGCTGCATCTGAGCGTATGCCAAAACCTTTACCTCGGCGTCAAGCAGTTTGAAACCACGGATTGTCTCGTTTTCTATTGTGGCCAAGCACAAGCTCTCTATGTACAATGCAAACAAGAGTGGACTTGCCTGACAGCCCTGGCGTACAGACCGTTCCAGCCTAATGGGAGACCCCGGGATCTTGTTAATAATTAGTCGTGTAGTAGAGTTCTAGTACGTCAAAACTATGCCCTCTGTAATCACCTATCCGACATTGACATGTTCAAGTAGGGAGAATAGCACTTATTGTGGGACGCAGTCAAAAACCTTTTCTAAATCAAGCCGGAGGATCGCAACATAAGAATTAAAAGCATCGAAACTCTCAAAGACACATCGCATTGTGTATGTATTCATCAATATTGAGTGCCCCAAAGGCCACACGTTTGGTGCTCCCCAACTATTCCGGTGATAAAGGACTACAATCTACCTGTCAATACTTTCATGAGTATTTTGTAGTCAGTGTTGGTTAGCGAAATGGGCCTTTATGACGAAAATAGTTTTAGTTTGCTTTGTCATCCGTCTTAGGTATTAGAAGAGTGTGCGTCTCGGCTAATGAAGGTGGTAATGCTTTGATTGCGTAGGCTTCCTTGAAGACAGCTTGTAACACTGGTGAAACTTCTGTTTTAAAAGCTTTATACCACATTGCACCAAGACCATCAGGCCCCAGTGACTTCCCAACGGCGAGCATATATATTGTATATCCAATTTCAGAAACGGTTATTGGCCTCTCTAACGCTTCTTTCGTTTCGAGGTATAACTGCGGCATCCGGCTCAAGGAAGTGTCCTTGAACTTCGTAACATCTACTAATGCGGCTGCGAAGAGACCCTTTTAATACTGAAAGAAAGCGTCAGCGATAGTGCTGTTAGTATTTAGCAGAGTTTCATTTTCCTCTATTTCGTCGATGTGATTACGATGCGCTTGTGATTTCTCGATTCCAAGCGCGCGCTTGGTAGGAGTCTCCTTATAGCACACGCCTCTGCTCTCGCTCGAATAAGGGTTCCTCTGTAGCGTTCTTGCTCTACTAGCTCAATTTGTCGTTTCACCATTCGAATATCTTCTTTATATGCACCGGGCTCCTTGGTTTCTAATGCTATCAATTTCTTAAGCGTTATTCTGGGTTCATTTTCTTTCATTATTTCTTGATGTTTTAAAGTACTAGATCTCGATATGGCTTTCATTTTAACAATTTGCTTCGAAAGTTCCCATTCCTCGCCAACATTATGGGCTCGGATCACTTTATTGTTCTTAATTCCCTCAATCACAAAATTATAAAAAAATGTCATCCCGAAGTAGTTTAGCGTTAAACTTTCATAAATCCCAACTAAATTTGTTTTCTTTTTGTTTAAGTCCCACGTTACATTGAACAAAACAATGGTGAGAGAAAAAGACAGGCAAGACTGTGAAACTATAGCTTTTAGCCAACGTCTTCCCTGCCATGTATATCCTATCAAGACGTGCGTGACTGGTTCCCTGAAAATGCGTAAATCGAACTTCGCGACCTGCTTCGAGGCACTCCGCAACATCATCTAGGTCAGATTCATTCAGCAAGTCATAGAGCACTTCAACATTTCCGTCTCGCACATGGCGGTTTTAATTCTATCCTTCGCGCTCAATACACAATTGAAATCCCCCAATAAAACAAGCTGTTTTGGTTTCCGTAAATGTTGCTTAATTAACCAGAAGAAAGTGTCTCGATCTGCCTCCACGTTCGGCGCATAGACATAAATGACGAGCCATTCAATTTCGCTAGTACTAAAATCACCATTCACTGTTCCACCAGAGTCACAAAAAAAGTGACTTTCAACAATCATTCCCGGAATCTTTTTAACAAAAAGCACACAACCGGCCGAAGTTCCATTTGCGTGACTTACTATGGCATAATATTTAGACGTAAACCGCAGCATCATGCTTCGGGTCTCCTCCTCACCTTCCAGTTTTGTCTCCTGCACAGCTAAAACGTTAATATCTTGGTCAACTAACAAGCGATACACTTGAGTCTGCTTTTTCCTGGAGGCCAAACCTCGGACATTTAAAGATGCAAAGCTCAGTGCCCAGTGACTAGCCATCGTTACTCACTAAAAAAAGAGGGGGTAGGCCCAGAGCATGGTGCTTACCGTGTACGTCTAGCTCCCTGATAGACGTCTCCGGGGCCATCCGGTGGTCCGGCATCAGTTAGCAGCTGGTCCCTTGGAGTGCCAACCGGTCGGTCCACAGGTAGATTGGACCTCGCTCCAAGGCCTGAGCGCCACGCTGGTGTCGTCTTCACATGTGGTCCCTCAACTTTGCTCTCGTGAGAGTGCCCGCAGATTGCTCCAGCGAACGCTTGACCGCCGAGCTCGTGTTGATCCCGCGGGTTATTCCGTGCGCTGGCATGTCGCGTCTTGTCGCCGCTTGCGTCGACATGTCCACCAGATGGCTTTGTGCGTCTTCAGTGGAATTCTCTTGGCTGGTGTCCGCCTTAGCCGTTTCTTTCTCCTCGGTTTCCGACGCTGTATCGTAATCTTCAGGCGAAACCGGCCCGCGTTCAACCAGAGAACTAGCCGCGTCTCCTGCCCCCTTAGCCGCGTCTTCCGCCTCAACGGAGTCTATTGTCTGCTCTTTGATCCCATCGCACGTTGCAGCGCTCATAACTGCTGTGTATGACTGGACGCACTTAGCGTCTCGATGTCCAAATCGCCGACAAATTGAACACCGTGGCACCCTGCAGTCCCGGCATACATGACCAGTTCCTTTGCACCACAAACATTGCATAGGCCCGCCCAGCGCCACAACTAGGGCCGATTCCCCTGCAACGCGCAATTGGTGCGGAAGGTCCTCCACCGTAACTCCAGTTTTTAACTTGAGTAGCATGGTTCTCGTCATCGTCGCTTTGTCGCTGACGCCGTCGACTCTCCAGCACTCTCGATTCACTTCGACAACATTGCCGAAGGCCGCCAACGCCGTCCACACATCCTCATTGGCGACTCCGTAAAGCAGCCAATGAAGCCGCAGATCTGCTGGTCCTGGGGATCAACGATAACACACCGGTGTCCCTTCACCTGAAGTTCCTTGAAGGGCAGCAGTTTCTTCGTCGCGTCTTCTCCGTTCACTGTAACAGCCCAGATGTGATTAATCTGGTACGCTCCGAGTGCTATGACGTCCGTTAGCACTCCAGGGAGGTCCAACGCGTCTCTGAAGTCTTCAAACCTGTAGGGTCTCGCTCGAACATCTCCATGCAAAAACACAGTATGTAAGGCAACGCGTCCTGTTGGAAAATGAGGAAGAATCACTTGGTACTCTTCAGTTTACCTGTTACCACGGCCCTCAATGGCCGCTGAAGCCGCTCCGACGGAGCCCTGCATCCTGCGTTCGTTCACTACCATGGCAGAAAGCCAAATGACCTAAGCCACGGTGCCGCTGGCGTTTGGCTTGAAGAACACCATCTTTGGCCAGACTACTTTTCGACGCC